CACCCTCCATGGCCTCTGCATCAGCTCCTGCCTCTGGATTCCTGCCCTGTTTGAGTTCCTGTCCTGACTTCCCTCAGTGTTCCACAGTAATGTGGGACTGTAAGCTGAATAAACCCTTCCTCCCCAAGTTGCTTTTGGTCACAGTGTTTATCACTACACTAGACATACCCCTAGCCACACAAAGAAAAATAAGGCTATTCCACTCTGCTCTGCTGCATCCACCTTTGAACTGCTATTTTCTTCTGTAACTTAGTTTAACAAACAAAAGAGTTAGGGTGCAGCTAATGTGTATAAGGCCTCCATCCCCAACATCACGACAAATAAATAAACATTAACAGGCACTATCAGATTTTCACCTGGTAACATTTTTTTTTCTCATTTATATCGGAACAATAGCGAGTCACTTGACCAAGGATACATCCTTGATATTGGTGCTGTGGTTATCAGTGAGCAGCGACCATGTCACCACCATGGTCACCCTCTGAAATGACTGTCAGTAAAGCATTTAAAATCCAGCTACGGGGCTGTAGAGTTGGCTCAGTAGTTAAATGCTCTAGCTACTCTTCCAGAGGACCCGGATTTGATACCCAGTATCCACATGGCAGCTCACAACTGTCTGTAACTCTAGTTACAGGAGATCTACCTCTCTTCGGGACACCAGGCACTAACATGGTACACAGATATATATGTAGGCAAAAAACACTCATCCATCTAAAAATAAATAAAAGAAATCTGTAAAAAAAATGAATGAATGAATGAATGAATGAATGAAACTAAAACTATAAAGAAAACAATAAACACAAAATAAAAAGCCAGTCTTGGTAGTGTACACCTATAATACAAGTAAATCACCAGGTAATTACTACCCCACAGAGAGGCCCCTGAAGAAAACACAATGGGTGAAATAATGCTATAATTCATTCATTCTTGAACAACTAAAGCACACCTTTACAAACTATGGAAAAGAAGGAAACCCACAATGGTGACTCGTGCCTATAATTCCAGCAATGGGTAGGAGGGTGTCGTAAGTTTTAGACCAGCCTGAGCTACACAGTAAGTAGTTGGCCAGCCAGCACTACATACCAAGATCCCCATCTCAGGAATAGAACTATATTATTAAATATTCTCACTCCCTTCAATACCACCTGTAGAGTTTTGTTTGGTTTTGACGTTTTGTTGTTGTTGTTTGGTTTTTGGATTTTTTTGTTTTGGGTTTTTTGTTGTTGTTTTGTTTTGTTTTTTTGAGACAGGGTTTCTATGTGTATCTGTCCTAGAACTAACTCTGTAGACCAGGCTGGCCTCAAACTCACAAAGATCTGCCGGCCTCTGCCTCCCGAGTGCTGGGATTAAAGGCGTGCACCACCATGCCCGGCTAATTGTATGCCACCCATACACTTAAGAGCTAACTACCACCTATATTGCTATTAGGACTTCCCTGGTCTCTGGAGTAGCAGCTGAACAACCTACTCTGCACTGGGAAAGCATACTGTGAAGGATATGCTTTTGAAATGTTGTTAAGTCTGATCCCAGGAGTTGCGAAATTAAGCCAAATCATTAGTTCAGTAACACCAGATGCTATGACCAAGTACTATGAAGTCCCAATGACAGTGTGTTTTGGAGAAAGCTGGTAAGACTGACCTAGGACCAAATACTAAATTTGCTCTTATTAGCAAGCTTCCTTGATCAAGTTCTTTAACTGCTGCCTCAGTTTCCCCACCAACAAGACCTGGATGCCTTTTGCAGTTCTAGCAGTGCATTTAAGTTAGCACAGATCCCATGGGCAAAGGCTGGTCACTAATTCTAGTAAGTGTTGTTGTGCATGGGCACCTGAACATCCATCTGAGTGACCAGCTATAAGTCAGGGTCTTGAACAACTTTGGGATAGATAGTTCACTACAACAGTTCACAGGACATACATAACAAAGGGCGAAGCACAAGAACAGCCCAGTGGAAGAGATATATAGAGCAAGGGGTTCAATGCCTTCTGCAGACAGGCCACCCACACACCCAGAATCTTCACAAGGTTTACTTCCTGAAAGCTCCCCAAACTCATCATTTAGGAGTTTCATGGAGATTCCATTTCATAGACAGGGTTAATAAAATCATTAGTCATTTGTGACTAGTCTTCAGTCTCTCACCTCATGGGAGGGGTGAGAGAAAGGGTTCTAACACCCAAACCACATGGCTGGTTTCTCTGGGGACCAGACCCAATTCTCAAGCCACCTAAAAGCACATCAAGGTCTGCCTCCTAACAGACCTCAGTGACTTTGAAAGGCTCTCCTTGTGAACAATAAAACATGCTCCTATTACTCTCCCTGAAGAAATCCCAAGGGTTTGGCTCTGGTCAGGAACCCAGAACAAAGATCAAATATTCATTTCCTATTATCACACGTGTGCCTAAGAACTTGGACACTTTCTGCCTTCGGCCCAGAACACTGGCCTGAAACCTGGATCACTTGGATCTGTATTCCAGTGGAACTTCTGGAAGTCTTATCTGATCACCTACCAAAACAGTCTTCTTTGTCCTTATGCTTCCCCATCCAGTGTCCAGGCAGGGAAGCTGACAAGGACCTAATGCCAGGCAGTTCATTGTCAGCATATTTAAAACACATTTGGGAAAAAATTTCCAGGCAACAATCATTTCAATCCAAGTACACAACAGAGCTTAAGATGTGACTATATAGAAATACCTTTGCAAGATACATGTGACCATGAGGGTGGGTTCTATAGCTAAACAGCCAGGAGTCTAGTGTGGTCTCTTGACTGGGATAGCATAGAGGTCAGCAGGCCATAAAACACATGTGACATTCCCCCCTCAAGGTGGGTTCCACTGAGATCTAAAGACCTCAAGATCTCAAGATCTTTAGATCTAAAAGATCTAGAGATCTAAAGATCTAAAGAGTCTAGGATAATCGTTCTGAGAAATTTGGGAGAGGTCTGCCTCCACAAATAGCAAAAAGTAAAAAGGTCACCAGGTCATTATCAATATCCATTCTCAGCTTTTCTGGATGAATATATACATTTTTCAGATATTATATTTTAATCTTTCCCCCTGAGGAGACACCCCTGCTTCATTAACATTCCTGGTTTTCTTAGTGCTTCTCTGCAAGTCCAAGGACCTTTGAGCCCCTCAACACCTACCCTGCTGTTTACAATCACCTTCCCTACTCCATTCTATGAGAATGCAATTTCCCTAAAGAAAAGGTCTTAAGTCATAGCTTGATCCTCAGACCTCAGCATTTCTTACACAGTACTCAAAAAGGCAATTGCTGGACAGCAGAAAAATGGTACTAGAATGATAACAGCAAATGCCAGGGTTGGAGCTGGGGATGTAGTCACTGGTGGAATGCTAGGGCCCCTAAGTAGGTCTTTAGCATAAAATTAAAACAAAGCCTATATCAAAGCATCAAGAGCAAAAGACCATGGATTTGATTTTCTAAACCGCAAAAAAAAAAAAAAAAAAAAAAAAAAAAAAAAAAAAAAAAAACAGAAAAAAAGACAGAAAGGGGAATGGGTTGTGAGAATTTAATAAGAGAGTGAACACAGAGAAATTAAAATACACCATGTAGCACATAGTCAGCTGTGACTTTGGCTAACGACATTATCAGTGTAATTCACAAGAGGGTGAGGTCAACATGGGCCAGAGCAGTTAACCAACCGCTCCAAGGAGAGGCACAGGTCTTGAATCTCATCTGGTTAGATAAAGACTTTGCTCTCTCATGGGGACAGGGCAAAAGATAGGACATGTCTCCTCCTCTGCTCTGGCCACCCCTACCCAGTATGTGCTGTCTTCATGCCATGGATCAAATGCTGTTTTCACACCCTAAGAATTACCTACTCACCAGCCTCTCTCTCTCTCTACCCACCCGTTAACCAACTCTCCTTTTTATTTCTACACACCAGAATCTAAATGAATTTCACTAACAAGAGACATTCAATAAAACTGCTGGATAAATTAACTTCACAGACCTGTACAAAAGGACCAAGCTGCCACATACATACATACATACATACATCAAGTATATAGGACCAGCTGAATGGCTCTGTGGGTGAAGTCACTGGTCACCAAGCCTGATCACCTTCCCCCCACCATACATACATAAAATAAATAATGTTTTTTTTAATTCAAGTACAAATAAGGCAAGATGGCTCACTGTCTTTAAGCCTGATGACCTGAGTTCAGTTCACATGGTGGAAAAAGAACTCCAGTAAGTTGCCCCTGACCTCCATAATAAACACACACACACACACACACACACACACACACACACACACACACATAAACGATTCAAGTGCAAAGATCATGTCAACTTAAAAGGGGAAAGAAAGAAAGAAAGCAACCAGCAGGACCACCCACAAGGGAATCACCAATGGACTATGGGGACACCTATGTCACTTTGTGAAATAATCTCCAAAATATACTTACCTGAAAAAGTCGGAGAATATAAAACGTGCTTCCAATTAGGCAAGGCAAAATATTCTAAAGCAACAAACAAACACGCAAACCTTCAAGAATTGTTCACATGCCTGAGACCTACAAGTGTCAGTAATATTTGCGGACAGGAGACATACGTGAAAAAAAGAACTGGAAAACAGATCTGCTTTTCTTGTTAAATATATCTGTACTGTTTGCATTTTTAAGAGATTGCATTAATTAGCTGCTTGTATTACTCAAATGAACGCCTGTAAACTACAGAACTTGGGTGCAGACCTTATGAGAAACCAGGCGACGAGTAATCCACCCCCAGATAACTAGTTCTGGGCAACTAGCGCTTTTACACAGCAACCCCACGCTCAACTCCCAGAAAAGTGCCGGTCTCGAAAAGGTTGAACGCCAGAGGACCAGAGGCACACACAATCTAGACGGCTTTCCTCCCAGACCACCCCCAGAGCCGGGCTCTGTGGGGAACGTGTCCTCAGGCACGAGTCCCGGAGGAACCGAGGAGGAAAGCGCTTCGGGCAGGTGCGCACACCGCGCGGATCTGGGGAAGGAAACTTACTTTCTGACTGGCCTCTTTAGCCGCGACCTGCCTCTCCTGCTCAGGCACAGTCCCCACAAACGCCAACTTCTTCCTGGGATCCATCCCGGAGCCCAAAGGTCACCCGGTCAGGGGAGGGAAGAGCGACTCTACAAGCCAGGGAGAGGAGGCGCGAAGATGCGCATCTGCGAGAGGTTCCTGGGGACCACACGGCTCTGACAAGCGAGCCCCGGCTCTGCGGACCCGGTGCAGCAAGGTCCGCGGTGCGCTGGGGAGGAGATTCAGCCCGGGGCCACAGCCGCAGAACGCCGGCTCCCGCGCAGCCCCCTCTCCACCCCGCGTCCCGCT